TATTAATAATAAATAGGAAAATATATTTTTTTAGGGCAAAAAAATATTATCTAATGATTTACTATGTTAGAAATAAATGCGGAAAAAAGAAAAAAAAGTTGCACGAAGCAAGTCTCGAACAGGTGATCTCTAATATTCCAGCCACTCGCCTCAGAATTTCTTTTCTGAATCAGAAACGCTTGCTTTTAACATGCAAGTAGTATGCATTTATCGTCTGTTGTGTCGGCTCGGTGGAAGGGAGACGTTCGCTCTCTTCCATTGGTTGAACGGCTAAGCTCACACGGATACGTGACGACGCTTCTGTAAGGTTGTGTGAGGCAGCGGTGCCGGGACCGCTGTGGGAAAGATCGCATCACTGTCCCCAGCAATAGCAGCATGCGTTATTTTCCGCACAATGCAACCACTTCCTTCACCACAGAATTACCTCAACCTATACACTTACAATCTATACACTTACACTTACACGGCAAATGGGAAGTCGCGCTTAACGAGATCCAATTTCCCACTACTTTTTTACACATAAACCACGTTGAAAATGTCATTAGATTCGTCGATATTGAAAATAGACACGAGACGAGGAAAAACGGGGCGCCGTTAACGTCGACGCAAGGCGTAATACCGAACGATATTTATAAAAATATCGAGGTACTTATCTCCGCTATTAATTCGGCTTGCAAAGATGCGGATTCGCATATTAATTTGAAACTAGAAGACGCTAGCGGCGATAAAATCTTGTTCGACATTACATGAAAATAAATGCAAGCTGATTCATCATATGAACGTTTCCGATAATTTTCTACGAATACTCGGCTGCGGTGAGGCCATAACGCCTAATGAAATCGCATATTATACCACGCTCACTGCGACTAATCCTAATTCCAAAGATATTTTTACAGCGCCTTTTATTAAATTCGGGTTCAAAACGGAACAAGGAGTGCGCGCTGGAAGTTTCTATACTGTCGAACCGCACGGATTGCTGCGCGGTATTCCCGATAAACTCTTTATTTATTGCGATATTTGCGAACCTTATATAACCGGCGATGTGCAAACTCCACTTCTTCAAATAGTACCGGTCGAGCTGCAACATTACGGACATTATTACGCGTACGGCGCGAATCAAGTGAAACATTTCTCCGTCCCGCATTATATCCCATTACGACAAACGTATTTCCGCAGGATTGAAATAAATATAAAAGATCAATTCGGAAAAAAAATACCATTCCAATCGGAAACGCTAACGGTGACGTTGCACTTTAGACGTTTCCAGTAAGAAAAAATCAGTCGCAAATGGTAAAAGCCGCGCGCTATGGCTAGACCGGAGGACCATGAATATTACGATATACAAAGCGGAGGTAGGAGCGGAGGAATCACGAGGGTTTTCGTCGAAGCACCCTATCAACGAGGACACGGAATCGATAGTTTTCTTGGAGGATTATTCAGAAAGGTGCTTCCTTATCTGAATAAAGGTGTACGAGCGGTTCGTAAAGCTTTACGCGCTGGCATTAACGTGATGGAGGATGTCGAAAATAATACATCGTTCAAGGAGGCGGTCAAATCTCGTCTCAATGAATCGAGCGGAAATCTCAAAAGAAAAGCTAAAGAAAAAATAACTAACTTGATGAAGGGAACAGGTTATAAAGTATCCGCGAAAACAGCTGCGCTTCAGTTTTCTTTTTTCAGTCACGTAAGACGCAACGCGGTTCCTAAGTGTCGTCATCCTCATCGTCAGACGAACAAAAAGAAATCGTCAAAGAATAGCAACGTGCGAAGAAAAATCACAAACAAAAAAAGGGCAACAAAGAAAAAAAAAATACGCACGACAGGTAGAAAGACCAACAACAAAAAAAAGCCATCCGGCACCACGGGGCGCCGTCGTCGAGTCAAGAAACGCAGTGTAGCCGACATATTCTCTTAATCGTCGTGTGAATTAGGAATTTACGGAGCATGTCCTTTCTTCATACACATTCAAACGAATGCTTAAAGAGTGAACTCGATCTCTTTTCTTTACCGCCTACACAAACCAGCATCGAGAGATCGCAATGGATTTATTACAAACCCGTAGCTCGCGGACGACGCGCCTATAGAATTCGTCATACCCGGCCATGGGGAAGATTATCTAGATCTCACGCACACCATGTTGAGTCTTCGCGTACGCGTAGAATCTTCCCTCCTAGCAGGAGGCGGTACCGTCGCTGGCCACCCCCGAGTTCAAAGTAGGCCCTGTAAATCATTTACTGCATTCCATGTTCAACCAAATCGACATATATTTCAATCAAAAACTTGTGTCACCCCCAAACAACGCTTACGCGTATCGTGCTTACATCGTGGCGTTATTTTATTATTTTTCACCCGCAAAAAACTCCCATTTGACCTCCTGCCTGTGGGACGCGGATACCCCGGGTTTAATGGACGCGCTCCTAGAGTCGCAAGCCACGAATCAAGCTCTCGTGAGACGCTCGCGTTACATTCGAGACGGACAGACGCTAGATCTCATAGGTCATCTTCACTGCAACGTTTTCAATCAGGATAAATTTTTAATCAACGGGGTGGAAGTTAGAATGAGGCTCGTTCGCTCGAAAGATTCGTTTTGCCTTATGGAATCTAATTCGGTGTCAAAAATACGCCTTCTAGACGCTAGTCTGCTCGTTAGAAGAGCAAAGATAAGCTCTGGTGTGTTACTCTCGCATGCGAGAATGTTGAGTAAAACCACCGCCAAATATCCTCTCACAAAAGTCGAGGTTAAAACATTTACGATTCACGCCGGATTCGTAGGAGAATCGATAGATAATGTAATACTCGGACAACTGCCGAAACGTGTAATAGTCGGTTTTGTCGATAACAGAGCGTTTAATGATGATAGAAAATTGAATCCGTTTAATTTCAAAAACTACGGTATAAATTTCTTTTCTCTGTATGCCGATGGTATGCAATTTTCTAGTAGACCGTTACAACCGAACTTCTCGAAAGACGAAAAGCTTTACGTCGAAGCCTACCACACGCTCTTCTCGGGAACCGGCATTCACTTCTTGAACGAGGGAAATTCTATAAGTAGAGAGGATTATGCCCAGGGTTACACTCTTTTCGCTTTTGATCTTACCCCCGACTTGTCCGCTCATTGCGCCGGACATTGGAATCTCGCGAAACATGGTAGTTTGCGATTAGAAGTGAGATTTGATAAGGCGCTTACCTCGACCGTTAATTGTATCGTTTATGCAGAGTTCGATAATATTCTAGAAATAGACTCCTCTCGACAAGTTATCGTCGATTTTGGCGGTTAGATTTTTATAACGTCAAACCTCTGCCTCCTACCGCTACTACTACTACTACTACTACTACGTACATTTTTCCCTAACGTCTGTTTTCTTAAATGACGTGAAAGCAGCGGAAAGAGATTCAGTTTTGTTCGAGACACGAACGTCGTCGCATCGTTTGAAAAGAAAGAGCGAGTACTTGGACATAACCATGGATATAGTCATCGATATGCAGGGTTTCCGCGATGCCGACGAGAAGTTTATTCCGAAAGAAGTGGCTGTTGTCGCGATTAACTCACCAATCATCGGACACTGGATTATGACGCCTTCCTATCCCTTTGACGATTTACCCGAAAAATCGAGACGAGAAAACAACTGGCTTTCGCGAAATTATCACGGAATCGAGTGGTTCGATGGCGAAACCGATCTTAAATGTTTTGTAATACAACTGCGAGAAATAACACGTCGAGCGCGCTACATCTATAGCAGGGGGCAAGAAAAGGCCCGCTATCTGAGGCGCCTACTTTCCAGAAACGTATATAATCTAGAAGGAATTTCTCCGGCGTTTAAAAATTTGTCGGAAGACAAAGAGAGCGGACATCGGTGCTCTCACCACGGCTTTCGATTTTGCTCTACAGACAAATTTCTTTGCGCGTTACGCAACGCCAACAAATTGAAACGCTGGATAGTCGCTCAAAACACCAGCAGTGAGTGTAGCATCGTTTCGAGCTGCGATGATCTTTCTTATGAAAATTGGAGCGTAAGCGAAAAAGTCGACAGCGGCGTTTTTATAGAAAAAAATAAAAATCTCGATATAATTCGCAATATCGAGGCGTGGCGTAACGCTACGGAAAAAAAAGAAGAAGAAGAGGTGAAAGAAGAAGAAGAAGAAAAAGAGAAGAATCAATCACGTAATTACATTGCAAAAAATATATTGCGTGTAAAAAAAGAATATCCTACCAATAGCAACGCTCAACAAACCATCCCCGTTAATGCACAATCATTCGAGAACGTCTACTCTACGCGAAAGGAGATAAACCCCTGTGACTCTACTATACAAATAATTCCTCGCGCACGAGCACCGTCTTGTTACGCGACAAATAAATTCGCTGGAAATCTTACATGCGTTGCGTCGTCTCAATGTCAGATATGCAGGAATTTATCCTGCCGACAGACTACCGAGGGTGTGGACAAGGTCGACAGCCATTGTCACTAATACAGACGAGCATGACCGCCCCGGAAGACACTGGGTCGCCTTTTACATCGACGAGCACGATACCGGCACATATTTCGATAGTTACGGAATTTCACCACACTCGGATCAACGATTTCATCTGCGACTTCGACGAAATTTCACCACGTATCGATGGAACACCGTGCAGCTACAAGGATTTTTTTCGCAAACATGCGGTCAATATTGTTGCGTGTTTCTTTATTATTTGTCTCTTGGTTACAACCTTGAGCAATTTCTTCGTCTTTTCACCGATGATTATAACCAAAACGACAGACTGATAGTATGCTTATATCGCAAAATTTTTCATTGTAAAAAAAATGAGCAAATAAAACTACGTACAAATACTTGTTGTAATATTCAACGATGTATTTTAAAAAATTTCAAATAAAACATTTTATTTCATATATTTAACATTTCTCGATGCGTGCTTTGAAATAATATTTTTAAAACATATTTAGTAAGTCAAATAAAATATTTTTATATTTTGACTGTAATGTTCAATTATGTATTCGTAAGAAAAATTCCAAATAAACGATTCCAAATAAACGATTTTGTATTCCATTTCTCGCGTTTGTTTCCTTCCCCTTTTCTCTTGTTCCTGCACGCTCCACTCGCCATCGTCGATCCATACAGCGCGCTCAATCTGCGAAAACGGGTGGCTGACGCTGACCCCGTTCACGTGATATCGCGCACGCGGCCCTCTTAACCAGCACGCCATATATCAGACTAAAAGTCTGATCATTCGTCGCTGCGCCGTCATTCTTTTGTTCGCTATACGTGCCTGGCGCACGCTCTATACCGTTTGCACAGGAACCCCCTTAGCCATCACTCTATCTCGTTGAATATCGGACTAGCAGACTAGAATCCACGTGACTGTTTGACTCCGTGACGTCGTTCTTTTGTTCTCCCATACTTGCCAGACACCCGCTCACGGGTCTCTTGGCCGTAGTTCTATCTCCCCGTCCGACACCATGGCAATGTTTATTTACATTTCCTATACCTGCTATGAAATACCACTCTTCTTATAAATACGACTCTTTGACTTCTCCTTCTAAACTTCTAGGTAGCTCGGCAGACTAAGACTCGGCCTAGAAATTCTATTGACCATAGTTCTATCACCCCTCCGTCCGACACCTTGGCGATGTTTGTTTACATTTCCTATACCTGCCAGAGAGTCCTGGGTACCTCATATAGACGCGGTCCCATAAATACGCCCCTTCCCTTCGCAGACTAGAGACGCCTGTGTGACGTCGTTTGTTTTGATGCCCCATAGCCATAAATACGACCCTACGACTTTATTAGATCTATAGGTAGCCCTGCAGACTAGGACCAGGACTAGAAACCCTGCGATCCAGGTTCGAACCCGGTTTGGATTTTCTCAATTCGGAAAAAAATAAAAATTTACATCATCCCGCGTCCGCGCCTGCGATAAATACGACCTTACGACTTACTTCATTAGATCTATAGGTAGCCCAGCAGACTAGGACCAGGACTAGAAATCCAGTGATCCAGGTTCGAACCCTGTTTGGATTTTCTCAATTCGGAAAAATAAAAATTTCCGCCGTCTTGTTTGCCCGTAGCCGCCATCCTTTTCCCATCCCGTTAGAGAGGGGTGAGGGAATGTTTTGACGCCAGACCATAAGTAGGTCACTGGGTCAAATATGGGGTAGGTGGTGGGGGTTTGTTGTGACGCACCATACCTGCCAACATACTACTAGAGACGTTGCTGTTTCAATACCCCAATAGGAAAGCATTTCTAAAACTATATGACGAAATCTTATAGGCAATTTATGTTTTGCAATTATGTAAATATATTTCAACTAATAGATGTAAAAATATTGATCTTTTATGCCATATTAATTATTGTTTGCGAAATGAAATACTAAATAGTATTTCGGCAAATCTATAACGATATGGCGAATCATCTTAGCAGTATATTTGCAAAGTAAAAGTGTAGAAAGAAATTGCTCACTAATTGAGAAAAATATTTCAGCTATATTATGTTTAAAATACATAGGAATATAATTGTGCTTGAAAGAATGAAAGTAATGCTTAAAGAAATACACAATTATTTCTAAATTATAATATAAAAATATTACAAAATAAAACATTCCACATTAAGTATAGCAAAATTTTAAATAAAGAAATAGTTTCCAATGGGTTGCATGTAAACTGAGTTTTCGAAAACAGTGATGCTACAAACAAAAACGCGGTTCGCTCGCTTCGGCAGTGGAGGGAATAAGGCACAATACGCAAATTGAAAATAAATCGGTTAACGTGTCTTCATATATCATTTTCGGCGCTCAGCGGCGCCTGCGCCGAGCGCACACGTATATATGAAGCTCTTTCCGCTCTTTCCATGTGTGCGCGTCTGCGTGTAGCAGTTGGCAGTTACGAACCGGCATGCCTGACTTCACATTTCACGTGCATTCACGTTGTGGCTTGTTTAGCGTTGTGGCGTCTTATTCGTTATACTAATTCGTATTGTACAAAGAACTGTACAAAGTCTTGTACAAAGAAAGTGTCTCGGAAAATAAGAGTCAATCAAGATTGTGATGAGTGTTGAATCGAAAGGAATACGTGTAATTTATAATCACGTGTCAAGCTAGAAAGGTCTTACATTCCGAATACATAACACGTATGTATTTATTCATGTTTTCTTTAAATTATATAGTTTTATAATATTGTTTTATGACATAATTAACATTTTTAATACATATATAGACCCAGACAGCACAAAATATTCCAATAATATTCTGATATTCTTCCATATATTCTAACAACCACACGTTACGCTGCATGGGTCCTCGGATTGAGATTTCTTTTGAAGCATAGTTAGTTTGGGCCTACATAAGATATTTATAGTAAAACAGTTTGAGTGCATGGGCTTTGGTTGACCATTAGCAGGGCTTCAATGTTGCATCTTTAACTAGCACTTTTGTAATGTAATTTTTTTACCCACTACTTTGCAATAAATTTGAGCAATATTTATCCATATCACATTTATATATGCCTACCAAGTTACAAATAATACACAATTGCTAAAATTAACATTATTATTTACGCAAAAGGCAAAATCATTATTACACATAAATGATTTGTCTGCGTTTTACTAGTAATGTTACTTTTGGCAATTGTGTATTATTTTTAACTTGGTAGGCATATATAAATTTGTGATATAGATAAATATTGTTCAAATTTATTGCAAAGTGGCGTGTAAAAAGGTGCCATTACAAAAGTACTGGTTAAAAGTGCAACATTGAAGCTCTGCTAATGGTCAACCAAAGCCCATGCAGTCAAACCGCTTTACTAGAAATCTTATGTAGGCCTAAACTATAACTATGTTACAAAGGAGATCTCAATCCGAGGACCCACGCAGTGTAAAATAACGTGTGGTAGTAAGAATATTTGGAAAGAATATTCTTAAAAATATGGAAGAACTTTATTAGAATATTTTCCGAATATTTTGTGCTGTTTGTGTATATATATATAAAAGATTATATTACTCAGAATATTATATTTATTTATTGTTAATCTTTGCACGTGTATAATATCATAAATATTTTTTCAGGTTATATTGTCTTGTTTGGCGGTGTTTATAACAATAATTTATATTCTGTGAGGAAACGTAATAACATTTATCAAAGTATTTTTGAAAGTTATTGTTCATTCATATATTTGTATATAAAATATTTGTAGATGTGAAATGTGCCTTTCAAAGAACATTTATTGTATTTAATGTATTGTTTATGTGCTATTAATGCGGTCAGCCTTGTCAGCTTTATTATAACAC